TATTTAAACTGTAACTATAGTTTTTAACGGAGGAAAATATTTTTATTTAATTTATCTCTATAAATTATAATACAAGAGGCTCCTGCTCATGTTCTATGACATGTCAGCTGTGGCCATGTCTCTTATTTGTCTGTTATCATGTCTATAACAGACTTTCACACTAATGTAAATTAGTATGAAATCGTTGGTGAAGGGTCGTTATACGTTAGTTGACTGTTGGAACATGCAGTGTTTTGTTAGTCACGTACCAAGCTGGTTTTGTTATGAGCTGCAATAATTTTTATTGGAAGGTTTGAAGTTTTTGTACTGAGTACTGTTCCTTCCAATGACTGTCATGTCAATTTTTCGTGGATCTCCAGCACATTTGCTGATCGTTAAAAAAAAAGTTGGCAGGCGCAAATAATTGTTTATAGCCAATAAAATAATAATGATATAAGAGTGATGCTCAACTAAGCTAGTTAGTTTGTTCACAATCTACCTTATATACCCCAGATAATTGGACATTTTATAATGGTATACAAGAATAAAATCTAAGTAAGTATCCTAAGTGGATTTAAAAATGTTTAAGGCCTAAATCAAGACGTTATTTATTAGCGAGGAAGATTTTTCTAGGTCTTGTAAACAGAGTTTATTGGAGGAAAGTGGGATGTTTTTATTAATTGTACTGGCTTTTAATTTTAGATTTGGTACTTGTTTTTGTTATTGTTTTGTTTATAATAATTTAATAAAATGATATTATACAACTTTTTTTTTAAGAATTACTTTTGGTATTTGTATTTTTTAATTAGTAAATAATAGAAATATATTTTATATTCAAAAGAGTTAAACAAAATAAGAAATTGTTCATTTTTTTCAAAGTAAATTACTGTAGTAATAAATGGTCCATTAAATAGAGATGATATAAAACATTAAGATGAACGGCGATCAAGGAATTTTTTTTGAATATGAAATGAAATGAAATGAAAAAAATGTTTTATTATTCTGGGACTGTTGTCCCTTAAGAACAAAATATGAATACAGATTATATGTCTGTGTGGCTACAATTGAATTGTATATTTACAATGAAAGTTGACTTACGATAAAAATACAGAAAAGAGAAAAAAAAGAACAAGTAAATTGTACATATGTATGATAAACTAAAATAACCTTAATAAATTGAGGTACTCTCTGGTGGTGCTCAGATATTTCTCTGAGATATATTTCACATTCATTCGGATTGAGAAAGGAGTAGGTGCTTAAAGAGGAGTGGTTTAAACGAGGAAAGTGATTGAGCGTGTCGAATATCAGGTGGGAGGGAATTCCAGAGGGAGGCGGCTTGTATTGCAAAGGATTTGTCAAACGCAGCAGTTCGGTGAGGAGGAGGATAGAGGTCGGAAGTACGAGATCTGGTGGGACGGGATTGGATGGAATATTTGAATTGTAAGCTGTGAAAAATGTAGGAGGGTCGATGGGTTCTAATAATTTGGTACAGAAAGGTGGCTAGGAAGTACTGACGGCGATAGGATGGGTAGAGCCACCTCAACTCAGTGTAATACTGGGTAATATGCGTATCCCTTGAGATTCCGAAAACAAATCGTAGTGCGCAATTCATTAGGCGTTTAAGTTTGGCCTCGGAATCTCCCGGGAGTCCACCGTACACCATACAGCCGTAGTCGAAGTGGGGGAAAACAAGGGAGGAAACTAGGAGTTGACGGGACTTATATGGAAGGAGATATCGTAGACGATTGAACTGTTTTAGGGTGGAGATAGTGCGACGGGAAATTTGGGAGATGTGAGGTTTCCAGGATAGGGATTGATCGAAAGTAACACCTAGGTTTTTAACGGTGGTGTAGAATAAGATAGGTGAGTTGTTCAGGAAGAGACTGGGAGATACTGGGGAGGATTTGAGGAGTGAAGGGGATCCGATCAAGATGGCTTTTGTCTTCTCGGCGTTCAGAGTGAGCCTATTGAGGTTTGCCCAAGCACTTATTCTGTCAATATCTTCCTGAAGTTTTTGAGTGGCATCTGAGATATCTGTCGGATTAAAGGAGAGGTAAATTTGAATGTCGTCGGCATACAGGTGGTAATGACAGTGCAGGATAGAGGATGGGAGGTCATTTATATAGATGGAGAAAAGGGTGGGGGATAAGGAAGAGCCTTGTGGGACGCCTCTGGTCAGAGGTAGAGATTCTGATGGTGGGTTATTAGGAATTACAACGTACTGGGAGCGACCGGTTAGGAAGGATTGGAACCAATTAAGGGAACTAGAAGAAAAAGAGATATTTTTAAGTTTGGTTAGGAGGATGTTGTGGTCTACTGAATCAAAAGCTTTGGAGAAGTCTAGGAGAATAAGGATGGTTAGTTTCTGCTGATCTATGGCTGTGTGAAGGTCTTGGGAAATTTTGATTAGGGCAGACTGAGTAGAATAACCAGGCCTGAATCCAGACTGGTAGGGATTTAGGAGATTATTGTCCTCTAAAAAATGGGATAGCTGGGATTGGACTAACCGCTCTAGTGGTTTTGAGAGGTTTGAAAGGAGGGAAATCGGTCGGAAATCATTAGGAACTGATGGGTTTGAAGTCTTCTTCAATGGGCGTACTAGGGCGGTTTTCCAGGATGTAGGGAAGGTAGCATTTTGAAGAGAATAATTGTATATATGATAAAGGATCGGAAGAATGGATGGCAATGCGGCTTTAATCAGTCTGACTGGGATGTTGTCGGGACCGTAATCATTGGTATGGGACTTCTGAATGGATTTAAGGAGCTCATCTGGTGTAATATGGGAAAGAAAGAAGTGATCAGGATTAAAGGAAGAGAACATAGGAGCCAGACTGGACGTGGGAGATGTGGATGCAAGAGGACAGGAGACAAAGTGAGCGTTGAGGTTATCAGCAGAAACGGAATTGGACTGAGACTGGGGTGTATTACCAATGGTCAGTTTTCTAAGAATAGCCCACGTAGCCTTGGTATTGGGCGAGTTGGATAGGGAATGATGGTAGTAACGGGATTTAGCGCGGCGTACTGCTGATTGAGTGCTATTTCGAAGCTGTTTGTAGGAGAGAAAATCATCAGGAAGTCGAGTTCGTTTAAACCGTCGCCTTGCAGCATCTCTTTCTCTCATACACTCCCTCAAAGCAGGGGTAAGCCAAGGAGCTGGAGGATATCGGATGGTTTTTGTGATAAGAGGAGCATGTCGGTCGAGGATAGAGTGAAGTTGAGTGGTTAGGATTTCTACCATGGTGTCTATGGATTTTGAGGAGTAGATGGGATCCCACTGGATATCGTCAAGACCTTCTGACAATGTTTCGTGAGTGAGATAATCTAGGTTTCGGAAGGATATTGTTCGGGGAGAAAAGGATGGAACAGGGACATTGTAAGAGATCTGGACAAGATCGTGGGAAGATAGAAACGGAACCGGGTGCTGAGATGCGGCAAGGAGTTTGTCTGAGGAATCCAGGATAATTAGATCGAGCCAGGACTCTGAATACTGAGTATGATGGGTTGGATTGTAGGGTACTATGTAAAGGCTGAGAGAATTAAAGAGGTTTGTTAGGTAGGAATAATCAGAGGATGGTGCCAGTAAATTGGTGTTAAAGTCACCGGAGAGGATGATGTTTGAGTAGGAAGGGATTAAGTTGTACAATAAAGTCTCAAGTGATTCATCGAAAGGAATTCTAGGAGGGCGATATATGACAGCAAACAGAATGGCAGATGAGGTGGTGAGGATTTCGGCGAAAAGGTATTCAACGTGCGGAGAATCGGTTATGGAAGAGCAGTGAAGAATTTTGGATTTGAGACTGTCATGGACAAAGAGACCTACTCCACCACCCGTGCGATCTACTCTGTCATGACGAAGGAGAGTATAGTTAGGTAGAAGGATCTGGGAGGACGGGATTGTGGGTTTCAACCAGGTTTCGGATACGGCAATTAAATGGTAGAAGTTATGGAGAAAAAAGTCGTAAAATTCATCAAAATGGGCTAAGAGTGACTGAGCGTTGACGTGGCAGGTTAGAAGGATATTAGTCATGGAAGAAGGAGGGGTGGCTTGGTAAACGGACAGAAGGAGTTAAGGATAGGAATATTTCTACAGCAGCTAGAGCCAATTGTGTGCAAGATCTCCTAGATATTAATAAGGATGGTAAACAAAAAATATAAAATTTAGTTAACGAAAAGCATATTCCTATTGTGCAAAAGAAAAAAAATACACAAATTAGAGTTTCTGGACAGATCCGACCTAAAATATTCTCATAAACAAAAATGAAATTATTATCATAGTCTATTATTAAAACAAACGCAACAAAAACATAAAACTGGGGATATAAAAAAGTAAAAACAAAATTGTTCAAAGTGTTGTAACATGTATATGCATGTCAAGCAAACGTTTCTAAATCTGATGGTGAGTTGATGACGACGACCTGCTGTCCATCGTCTCGTCGACATTTCACCTTGCCTGCGCTAAACCAACTGTACCTGATTTTTCCTGCAGACCTCTTTTGCCGGGCCAGCCAGTACAGGTGTCTGTTGGTTACGGACATAGCTTCGCTCAGGTAGATCTTGTGGGCGTCATTTTCTTGCCATCCGAGGTGACGTGTTGAAAAATCCCTAATGACTTTTCGCCTCTGGATCAACTCATCCCTAAGCGACTGCCGGACGAACCTTACCACAAGCGGCCCAGGTGTATCGTCTTGCCTGTTTCTTATCCGTTCTGCATAGTCAATGTCCTCCACCTTTAGACTAAGGCCCAGGCCCGCCCCCACGCTCATAACCAGGCCCATCGGGGTCTCTCCAGATCTCACTGGGACTCCTCTTATTTCTATTGACCTGGAAAGGTGCAGTTGCTCACTTTTATTGAGCCTGATTTCGAGCTCCGAGACCCGAGACTTGAGAGTCGTGTTTTCCAAGACCAGTCCGTCAATCTTGGAATTTTGAGCCTCCAGTAGTGACTCTATAGAGTCTAATTTCGCCGCATTCTCAAAAGTTATGGATGCTTGCTTTTCGAGAGATATTTTTAATTCTTTCACCTCGTTAGCATTGGCATCGAGGGAGAATTTTAATCCCTTGACCTCTTCTGTTAAATTTTTAATGGCAGCAAGTAACAGTTGTGACGTGCTGTCGACAGTTTGTTGTTGTGGCGCCGATCTTGGCGGGCTGAGACACTTGTCTGTCGGTTGGATATTTTTCCGTGCCTTTTCACATTTCGGGCATTCCCAATTTTTTCGTAATGCCCTCAGTGCTTCAAACTCACTCTCGTCTGCGTTTAGACATTTTCCATGGAAAATGGCTTGACATGTTGGGACAGTGCATGCCATTGTTTTTTTTTCTTCTCTTGCTATGGTCTGTTTACAGATTGGGCATAAAACCATCTTGATAAGCGAGAGAAAAGAAGAAAGAGAAAAAAAAAATTACGTAAGTAACGTGGTAAAAAAATTGACGTTAACCCAACCTCGTCACTGGAAACACTGAGATATCTAGTACCTAGTCCTATTTATGCGCATGCGCTCCCCACCTATATTCTTATCTAGAATGCCTGCAATAAATACCTTAAGCCGACTAAAATTATGATTTTTCCTTTCTTCTTCTGACGTGAAACGGCGTTGTATTGAAGAATCTTTCCTGTCTGTGGATATAACACGATTAATAGTTGGTTCTAACCAAAAATTATGACCGAACTCCTTCTAAAAACTGCGAAAATCACTAACTATAAACTGACTGAACTTTTATCATACGCTCTGAACTGAGGTCTAGACCACACTGGTGTACAATATGTGTACAAATATAGTATAACGTATAATTAACTTCAATTGAAACACGTTGAACCGTAAGGGAAAAAAATAGATGAATAATAAATAACATACGTAACTATTATAAAGGTATGAATAATTGCAATTAAATAGTCAAAGTAAAATATATATCTTTTCATTATATACCTTATCAACCCATACAATGGCCAATTAATTTTGCATATAAGGGAAAATAAACCAAATCAATTATTTGTTCATTTCCTTCTTAATTATAAAATGATCTAATTGTGATTTTTTAATAATATCATAAAAATCTAAAAATAAAATTAAAAGAAAAAATGTTTATTTTGAAACAAATGTTTCTTATGTAGCTGTATATTGTTATGTATTGAACATAGCAAATGATCTTTTAAAATTGTTATGAGGTACTGAAAACAAAGTTGGAATATGCTGACACCAAACACATCTGCTGACATCAAAGACAGCGTCAAAAGATCAGGTACCTGCCTGGACACTACAAGGACCAAAGGCTCTGGGGAAGGCCTGTAGTTAAAGTAACTGATAGTTAAAGGGAAAAAAATAGATGAATAGACCTCGAACGGGTTAAGTAACTAGTTCCCTTTAGAGTGTAGCCAGTTTAAATATTAAAAACAGTTGTCCACCCGCCGAAGTTAAGAACCAATCAAAACCATCCTTGCGCCACTCTGAATATTTGTATAAAATCTCGTGGATGGAAAAGCTCGAGGTCCTATGTATTTTTCCTGTCTTGGTGACTGAAGACTCAGGCAGCTTGGTCTACAAAGAACATTGAGATGGGCGTCTTGACAGAGTTTGGACCTGGACTTGACGAGGAGACCTCGAACCAGTAGATGCAGTGATGGAACGACCAACATAACCTAACCAAATCATATTTAGAGCCTCAGACAAGTTGTAATTCCCAATTCTAATGTTGATATATTTCATGGCATAATTCTCAAACAGTCCATCTGAAACCATACCTGCACAGTTAATTATTAAATTCATTGAATCATGAATTTAGTTTATTGTTAATAGTATTTGCACCTTAAGATTTTCACATGATTTGTATGTATAGTTTTTTAAATATAAGAATAAAATAAGTTTTTTAGTAAGAGTTATTTTAATTCTGCCACCCATTTATATCACATAGATCACTGGTAATGTTGGTTATTGGAAAGAATGATAAACAAAAGGAACACAAACTAGCCTTTGAGAACAGAGATTGAATTTATTAATCCTGGCCCAATCAATATATTATAGATCCTAATTTTTTTAGTTTTTATTTTTATTAAACATTTATAGGTTAATTAATCTAGTGAAAAAGAGATATAATGAACTGAATTATCAAAAGCAGTGTTAAGCAATAAAACACACAGGCTCTGATTTAATCTATAAATAAAGTAATGCTGGAACTATTTGTCAACTGGTGGGACTGAAGGCCTAGTCGTCCAAACCTCCCTCTTCCCTTCTCTACTGTTAGAGTTTAAACAAACTTTGAAATTTTATTAGGCCACTTTTTAGATTACCAACTATCTATAAAAAGGATGATATATTACATTTCTCATATTTTGAAAGTTGTTTTTGTTTTCTTAGATCGGCGATCGGAACGTCCTACTGTGACACGGGGTCTAAATAAACTAATTTAGTTTTATCTTATTTTATTTATTTTTAATTAAACATTTTTTAACTTTTCTGTTGACAGGAGGTGTCGTGGACAGTCAGTGAAATTGAAAACAATTGTGAATATTGCTTGTTGCGGGTGTGGAGTGGTAAATATTTGGTGAGTGCCGTGGGTGTCTGGTGATAGTGTGTGTGGCTTCTCACCCCTTCCAACTCCCTAATTTACTCTCAGGTAAGGGCTTGTATCAATATAACACTATAATTACATATTGATATTATTTAATTATATCCTATTAATTTTAAGACAATATTCATAATCTTCAAATGGAATATGATATTATTAAAAAAAAAAAAGTTATATTCAAATCAACGTTTTTTTTTTTGAAAAATCATACAAATTGGCCAGTTATTAATAGCTTTGACACTTTTCTGTATATATTGCTAACCTTTTGTAATTTCTTCACATGATAAACTATAAAATCTCTTTCTCCGTATTCATCATCTTCATTACTGATATTTATCATTATTTTAGTGAATATTCTTAATCTATTCTAAATATTTTATCATAGTCTCATTTCTTTCATTCTATTTCTTAAGGGAATTGTGTTGCAGGAATTTTATTACGCAATTATAGTATATGTATTTTTTAGAATTTCCTTGACCGCTTAGGACAAGAATAAGACTGTGCACAATTATAATAAAAATGCCATTATTTGTGAAAAATGCCATTTTGTATCTTCATAACACTATATACAGTGTTTCTGTTTTCTTTCCGAATACCATCATATAGAAGGATTGTACTATTTATGATGAAAAATATGACTAGCCTGTTCCAAAGACGTTAGGTATGAAATAGGAGAAAATTATTTTATTTTAATAATTTGTCTCCAGATGATTTCGGTGATGATAAAGATCATTAACTCGTAAACCCTCATTTATTATCTACACAAGCAGAGAATTCAATTCACAGTGATTTTATGAATTATTAGCAGCAATGGTTTGACATTAAGTTTATTTGTTAAAAAAAACAAATATATTAAAGTAAACTAGTGTAATCTTCCCATTACTGTAAGTTATTTCAGCAATAAAGTATAAGATTTAACGTGATTCAACCATCGATAATGACCCATTAATTGTACTCCAACTTCGTTAATCACATATCAAAACCGGTCGACTCAGGTGGATTAAAATAAACTTCAACAAATCCTATCAAATCACCTTTATCCATTGTTGTAAATCTGACTTCCTTTCCAACAGTATCCTTCAGTAGTATTCTTCACTTCTCCGTACTAAAAAGATTCGCAAATCTACATCAGAAAAACACCTTAGTTGTCGGAATCCTCATTAAAAACTAACAAAGACACCGCTGGACGTTTCCGGCTGCTTCAGCATTTACCAGATATACGTTTTAAGCCTCCTATTAATTATAAAAGCTTCATATGTTTATAATGAGGTTTGCTTTGGCTGGCAGAGTTGAGATTCCAAGAAATCGGCAAATTCTTTTCGTACGTAATCCTTGGAATCTAATCCTTCATAAAATTCACAATGATCCGTATTTTGTCACATTTAAAATTATTCTTATCTATAACTTACCCAATTTACAAAACAGAAATCCATTCTTTTATAATTATCTACTTCCACTTTTCTTCTTCTTCAATTCCTGTTAAGAACTCAATTATTATGCGCCTGAGGAGAAAATGATCTCAGGACCTGTTATTGGATTGCTACCTTCTTTTTTCCTATAAAAGTATGTTTATTTTATTACACTTGATGTCTGTTAACATTGATTTGTTGTATTTTTAGTTTTAATAAAGTTATAATTTCAATATATATTATTTTCTTTCAAGTTTTAAAGATATTATTAATGATTTGTATGAGTATTGCAATTAATATATATATATATATATATATATATATATATATATATATATATATATATATATATATTTTTTTTTTTTTTTTTTTTTTTTTTTTTTCTTATGCCAGTCATTGGTCATTTGGCCATCCGACATCTTGCTGCCCAGTATAATTTAGACTTTCTGATATGTATATTTGAAAATATTTTGTCTCTTATGTCCCTCAAGGCAGGACATGCATCTAGATGGTCTGCATCCATTGTTCCTTGATGACACAATTCACAGCTAGGATCCTCAGCCACAGGCAACTGCATGTCTTCTCGGCAGCTCTTCACCATTTGCCGTATTGAGTCGTAAGGTTTTGGATATATCGGCTGAGGCAAATCTGTTCCTCGCTTGGCAAGAATATCAGCCTCAACGTTACCCGGAATCCCACAATGGCTGGGGATCCACTGTAGGACCACATTGGTGCCTCGGTGTGTCAGGTTAGAGAGGAGGGATTTACATTCCAATATAGCACTCGATAAACATTCATTCGTGCCTGTGACAGCAAGGATGGCTGCTTGGGATTCGATGAAGAGAACAGCGCTCTGATCCCGCCTTCTAGACATTGTTCTTAAGGATCGCCGCTATCTCACCGTCGAAATTTGTTCCATCTTTTCCCACCGCAGCGCTGATTTGGAATTCCCTTGAGTTAACCCCTGCTCCAATATTTTTAACGGCTGATTCAGCTGATCCGTCGGTATAGATATGGAACCAATCTTGAGGAGGGTACTTTTGAGCTATGAACCTTGTGAAGGAGTTGCAGTTCTGCATTGCATATATATATATGCATATATTTATTTTTAGTTTTATATATTTTATATAATTTTTATTTTTATTTTCCATCAGAATTTTATTTCCCTCTTGACAAATGGAAAAACAACATAAACTTGTAAATGCTTCTACGTGAAGTATCGAGCAATAATTTATAAAACTTTTTAACATTTATTTAGGTTATGACCTGTTTATATGTTCCCTTTTATTATGATTTAAATCACGGAACCTAAGGTAAGAATCGAAGGGTAAGAAAGT